TTCTTTTCCTTAAAGTGTTAGCTTATCCATTTCTGCACATTCTAATATTTTTCTAATCACATCTTCATCTGTTGGGAATCTCTTCACTTGTCCATTGTTGTGCAAATACTATTCTCCCTGCAGTCAATTCATGTAAAATCAGATTTAATCTGTATTTGTTATTGGCACCAATTAAGCAAGCTATAAGAAAGCACAAGCTCCACTGCATGAGGTTTTTTTTCCCTACCAGTCTCATTCTTATACCAGCAATCTTTCTTCAGTGACTGCCTCATTTAGCACCTGTTCAAAGTTATGACGGCAATGAAAAAGTAACTTTGTGACCAATCCTCGCAAGGTCTGTAAGCAAAGGAAAGCTGAAGTAAGACTGTAAGGACATTTATGATTTCACTTAGCAATCACTTTACTTAATGGCTGATTTGCCAGTCCCAATTGTAGCCCAAGTGAACTGCAGCAAAATAGTAAGAATTGGAAAGGCATTGATCATCCTAGTCTTTGTTTGTTCAGCGATAAAATACCCTTGCAGGGACAGGCAAGGAAGTGTTTTGAATATGAGTCCTGCACAAGAGAGATCCTTGGGAAAGAATAATATTACTAATACATGAAGGACTAATAAACTTTGGATGTGGTTTCTCATCCTCTTTCCAAGTGGTGGTATAATTGTAAGGGGAGAAACCTGCCATTGGTTTAGAGTTTCTTGCTTTTCCTCAGGCCATCTATAGATAGGATTAGGCCTCTATAAATTCTGTAAGGGACGCGGTGGCTCAGTGGGTAAGACGCTGAGCTTGTTGATGAGAAAGGTTGGCAGTTCAAATCCCTAGTGCCACATAACAGAGTGAGCTCCTGTTATTTGTCCCAGCTTCTGCCAACTTAGCAGTTTGAAAGTATGTCAAAATGCAAGTAGAAAAATAGGAACCACCTTTGGTGGGAGAGTAACAGCATTGCGTGCGCTTTCAGCATTTTGTCATGCCGGCCACATGACCACAGAGACCTCTTCGGACAGCACTGGCTCTTCGGCTTTGAAATGGAGATGAGCAGCACCCCCTAGAGTCAGGAACGACTAGCACATTTGTGCAAGGAAAACCTTTACCTTATAGATTCTGTGGCTGTTTCCATACATAGCATGTAAGCAGCCCAGAGTCATTGACTGAGATGAGTAGCTATAGAAAATGATTAAAAAACTAAAATATAAATAAATAAATTCATGTTGGTCCAGGATCAGATCTGTATCACTATAATGTTCCTACTTTACAGCCCAGTAATTCATTTCTGACTCAAATGTAGTGCAGCTCAAAACTTGCGAGTCCAATTTTATCCCACTGAAATGCAGGGAGGTGGGGGGGGGGATGACACGGGAGGTGTTTCCCCCCCCCCCACACACACACACTGGGTCTTCCTAGTGCTTGTTCTCTATTCAAATACCATCTTCGCGTCCATGGATCAGTGAAAGGGCGAGCGCAAGAATGCTGCTAGAGTGGCCCTTCTGTTTAATGAATTGCTGCGATGTTTTTCTAAAGCACCAAATTGGTGAAATTGGAGGGGGGAGTGAGGGGGTGTTTGCTGCCGCCATTTTTTATGCTCTCCTCTTGGAGGAAGGGAGGGAGCACTAGTTGCTTATCTGGCTTCTCAATGTCTTGTGGCAATAAGAATGATCGCAATCTCAGTATGAAAGTGTCCCTCAGGGGTTAGGGAGCGAAAAAGATGACAGATCTATATTCAGACTTTTTATGCAAATAAGAAAAAGAAGGTTCCAGAGCTGTTCTCTTTCAATTTCATTCTCTCTCCTTCCCTTCTACATCCATCCTCTGAACCATTGGCTCTCCTGCTATTTTTCCCTGAACTCTGCAGCACTCCCTTTGCTGAAATTAAGCCATTGTTCTTATGGCTCTGAACTGCATTGGCTGACAATTTTTAAAACCTCCCCCCCCCCTCCTCCTTTCTGCTGCTTCTTTCCATCATTAACTAGACTGTAAGTCCCTTGGGGACAAAGATTTTTCTTTTTTATGTACCTACTCTCTCTCTCTCTCTCTCTGTGTGTGTGTGTGTGTGTGTTTGTGTGTGTTTATTTGTAGATTTTCACAGATGTAGGTATGCTGGTCTTGTATTTGGGTCTTTTCCCATTGAGATTGTCTTGGCAACGTTTCGGCAAGGTCTCACTCGCCATCTTCAGGCTGGGTTTTGGGCTTAAAGTGTGGCCGGAGCTGCTCTCTTTCTATAAATATTGGTGTTTGTGTGTGTGTGTGTGTGTGTGTGTGTGTGTGTGTGTGTGTGTGTGT